TTTTAAGAAAGAAAACATGTTGCTACAGCATCTCGACAATATTGCAAAGAAGACCAACATTTAAAAAATAAAACTTTTAAGAAAGAAAACATGTTGCTACAGCATCTCGACAATATTGCAAAGAAGACCAACATTACAAAAATAAAACTTTTAAGAAAGAAAACATGTTGTTACAGCATCTCGACAATATTGCAAAGACCAACATTTAAAAAATAAAACTTTTAAGAAAGAAAACATGTTGCTACTAAACTGATCTGATTCTTACGCAAAAAGATAAATATTCATATTAATTACTGCATCGTTTACAATCTAACGTCCGTTTTCCAAAGGCACGTTATTTTCCAAAGGCACGTTTTCTTTTTCTTGCTCTTTGTTTCTCGTCATACGTTCCTTGGCATGGGCTAACCATACTTTAATCGGAGCTGAAATTTGGTCGTCTGTCACATTAACAAATGATTTTCGTATCACACCTGAAAAAATAACATTTTTATTGTTTATTATTTCTAAATAGTAGAACAAATATGTCTATGCTAATTTAATTTTTGTATAATATTATTAGATTAATAATTTAAATTCAGTTACAAATAATTATATGCTCTATCTCTAATATACACAAAATAAGATACTTTAATATATCAGTATTGATAAATGTTTATATTATTTAATAAATTAATAAATTATTAGAAAATATTTAGGAACATATCTTTCAACTTTTACAGCAATAATTATAGCATTCATTAATAAAAAAAATACAAATTGTTTTTAAATATTTTACTTACTTATAATTATTTTACAAATTTCTAATTTGGAAAATATTAGTTTCTTTTTTGCACCGTACCAACTGTACTTAATCGCCAGGTCATTAGAAACCATTAGTTTCATCAGTCGCAAACATGATGTTTTCATGTTTTCACATAATACAAATGCCAGTTGTGTCGTCTGAAATATTTGTAAATATTTGAAACAATAAAAAAAACGTACAAAGTATAGAATGTATGAAAATTTTATAATATTAAAAAGTAGACATTTGACTTACTTACCATTTCACTTCGATAAGATGCGTTATTTTTTAATTTTGTCTCCATCGCTTCAAGATCGTTTTCATCCTTCAATGGCAGATCTTTAAAAATATCAATTTTTTGTCTTTCTTCCGTTTCGAAAGTACCAGTTGAAAGTGTGCCAACGCGCCGTTCAATATTTTGTATGGCCGTGAATATGTTGGTTATGCTTGTGGCTATTTCCGTTACTTTTCGAATTAAATATAGTGTAGGATCATTTGATTCTAAAAAACATTCGAAACAGATTTCATTTATGTATGAAAAGAAAAGATAACATTTTCAAAAATTCTACAGATTAAAAATATGAAAAAATGTAAGCTGATTGAACTACAAATAAAAAAATAAAACGCAAAATTTTTTTATAATAAATAACATTACAACTCTAATATATATAATAATCGTAAGTAAAATAAAAACTATTTGCATACTTACTTAGTTTAAAATTGTAATTTGGTCCTAGTACTTTAGTCTTCTTTCCTGTTAATGACATTACTAGAGTATTAACATTATCATTATCGTCATCATCACATGATTCTTCATCCTTCGAAACATTTTTATTTCGTGAATCTAAATGCAATAAAAAATAATATTACCATTACTATTTCAATACAATTTTAACACATTGATCTCACATTTACCTACATATACAACTACAAATACTAGATTAAAAATATAAAAAGAACCAGTAAAAACAACCTAGTCAAAATAATGTCAAAGTGACATCAAATTGATGAGAAGTATGTCAAAATGAATGATTAAAATGATGGCAATATTACTGCATAACGTCCCATACCATAATGGTGATTTTAACCGTCATTTTGACATCTGTTTGACGTCAAGATGACAGTCACCCTGTACAGGAATATAAATGCACGATTAAAATTAAATTATATTAAATGAGAGCAGGTTGTTTTCACTAAGTTAAAACAGATATCACAAAAAATTGTTGCAAAATAAATTGCACAGAATAACGTTATGT